GGGCCCTCCGTGGCTGGCGGCTGCTCTGCTGTGACCCAACGGCCCCCAAAGACGGTCTCACTCCCCCAGGCCCCCCAGCTGGCAGCCATTCCCCTGGGCCCCCAGTCCTCCCGACCGGGGACCGAGAGCCCCACAGCAGGACAGACACACGGAGACCCTCGCAGCGAAACAGGTACACAAGACCCCGCAGCAGGACAGGTGCTCTCACAGCACCACGTCCTCCCTCCCAGGATGAGAGAGAGAGTCAGGCTCCTCAGGGACAGCTGCCACCTCCTCTCTGCGTTTTGAGCATCCTCACAACCACCTTTGCTGCCCCACACGTGTGTACGAGGGTTGGCAGTCGCTGCGTGAAGCTGCTCCCAGCTCCACCAGCCGCAATACCCAACCTGGCGTCATCTTCGCTTTAGACAGAGCAGAGTCCAGTATTTCCATGTGCAGAGACCCTGGTTGCAAGGTCCCCCCTTCACTTCTCCATCCTCTTGGTAGGAAAGAGTCCACTGAGGCCCCCAGCTGATTTAGCGTCAAACACATTTATTTCACTTTTATTGAATACAAGAACAGTGAGCACACACGCATACACCACCGAGCACTGAAAAGGAGTATGACCGAAGGGGGGAGAGGGAGAACAAGGGAAGAGAAAAGGAGAGTTAGTGAAAGAACAACAGAGCTTTGCAGTTGGTTGGTAAGGTGCTTCTCAAATAAAAATAAATATTATTGTTACTGTTGTTATTACTCATGCAATCGCAGGCCAGGTTTGGAATGAATTTGTGGGATCAGGTAAAAACAGGCACTCGTGTCTCCCACCCCTTTCAACAGAAAGGCCCCTGGAAGAAAACAAGCAGTGATCGGCTATCTGAAATGGAGCAAGGTGATGGGTAGGCTGGGGGAGCTGAGCCCGTGGGGGCCTCAGTTGCTGAGCAGCAGAAACCCACACCTCGCCAGGCGAACAAGCACTGAGCTTTTTTCTTTCCTTTTTTTCTTTTTTTTTTTTAAAGTTTTTAAACACTGCCATCCATTAAACACGCTGCGGAAGCCAGGGACTGGATCTGCTCACTCCAAACGTAACTCATTTCAGTCCAAGCGCACATCAAGTCTAACTCTGTAAGGCCACTAATTTTAACAGTAACCTTCGATTTTATAACCGTACACAATGTCAAAAGCAAGTATCTAGTTTCACAGTAGCCTCTGGTGGGTTGTAAAGGTGTCCAAGCCAGGTGGGCTCCTCTGAGTATGAAACACGCTGATGAACACCAGCACCGTGTGCAGACCACAAGTCCTCCGCCACCCCGCCTCTCTGAAAGTGCCACTGCTGATTACAGCTGGTTTGGATGTATTGAAAAAAGAAAAGAGCGAAGAGTAGCCTCTTTGCAACTGCCTTAACTCTTTTTTGGTTAGGGGTCTGGTCTCTAAAGGTAGCTGAAGGCGCTTGGATGGAAGCTGGGGAGACCCTCATGACCTGGCAGCACTGTTGCTAGCCAGCAGCTCTGTCTGCTTCCCAAGCAGCCTGTGCTCATGCCTTTCACGCCTGCAGGAGAAACCTCTCTGCCAGAAGGAGAACAGACTTCACAGGGACATACTAGCAAGCAACTGGTGAACCGCAGCTGCTGGGGAACAGTCTCTCTCCTAGGACAGCAAAGGCGGTGAGCGGGGTCTGCCCACAACATCCTCACAGCACAGGCTCTCTTGCTTGCTGTCATCCTCCGAGCCATTGCAGGACCTGGCAAAACACACCTATTTCTGGGCACAGTCTCTGTGAGGGCTGGGAGACTAAAGGCAAAATGGTGCAGAATTGTGGGCCCTTGTGTGTCCGCAGGAGCTAGAGACGATTCCAAGAAGGAAACCTGTATTTCTTTTCCTTTCTGACTTTGGTTCCAAGTCTACCCTAACTGCCTGGTTCACAGTGTACGAGGCCCTGGGCTTGGCCCATGATCCCCTTCCAAAGGCAGCCGTAGAGGAAGCCTGTGGCTAAAGGCCGAGCTGGGATGAGTTGGGGGAAGGCAGCTCCACTGACATCTCCTCGACACGTGCCTTCTTATGCAGAGGGCCTGGACTCTCTCGTCCAGCCTGGGGTGCTGGGGACACTCTGCAGTGATGGAGACAGCAGTGTCTCTCCACTGCCCATCCCCAGGCAGGTCGGGGGAAGGACTGCCATCGCCCCACCATTGCTGTCACCAGCCCGCAGCGCCTCGGGCTGCCCTTGCCATCACACCCTGGGCAGCAGGGGAGGCAGGGCAGAAACAACCCCTCCGCCTTCCACCCTACTACAGAGCTCAAGTAACTTCATTACTGGGATCCAGAAACAAAGCAAAACCACCCCAACCACCGGCATGGCTCAGAGGGCTGGAGAGGAGTGATGAATGCAGTCCTGCAGCTGCCACCTTGCTCCCAGCTGACTCCCGTGGCTCTGGGTGGGGGCCGGGGAGATGATCCTGCCTACAGCTGCCGGAGCCGCAGCCTCAACCTCCTTCCCTGCCCCTCCAAGTCACCACTGACCCTCCAAATCCAAACACCATACACTGCAGATCAGCCGGTGGGACATCTCCCGTCTCTCACCCTCTCCCCTTCCCCCCCCAGAACAGCAGCGGCTGAAACCTTCCCCATTCTCGCAGGACTGAGAGTCCCACGTGTGATCTAAGAGTCTCAAAATACACCAACCACAGTCAATCAAAGAGTTAATAATTTAAAAATGTCGTCATCATATTTACCAGCACTGTTGAATTATTTCAGTATTGTTCCCTCCCTCCCCCCTTGTTATATATAATAATATACATAACTTAAATGCACATCCATATGAAACCCCTACAGGCTGCTTTTTTATAAATGAGAAACCATATACATATCATTTGTTTTGTTTGAAATCCATTGTTAAATACCTTCAGAGAACAAGAGGTTGGACAAGTGCACAGAGAAGAAGATAAGGAACGGAAGGGGAAGAGTTAACAGAACTCCAAAAGATGCAAAAGAACCAGCATGGAATAAGGAGAAGGGCGAAATGACACTTGCGAATCAGAAAATAACTCTAAGGTAATAAATTCAATGTTTTTCTCTCTTCTTTCCAGAGGTGGGGAATGGTTTTGCTTCTGCTTGTGGTTTTTTATTTCAGTTTGCTTATTTCTTGCTTTGTTGCAAAGCAGTTTTCCTTTCCATTCAGTGTGCAACAAATGAACTCATGATTGTGTATCCTTTAATGTAACATGCAAGATGGTGGCTTATTGTATTGTTAACAATGTTATTGTTGTTATTATTATGATTTTTTAAATCTTATTTTATCACCAATCCAGTAAATTCTTCAATTTATCTGCAGAGGGTTGGCTTTGTTGGTGGTGGTGTTTGCTATTCATTTCCAGCATATAGCAGCAGTGCAAGGATGCATTTTGTTTCCTGTTTATATATATATATATATGTATGTATGTATATATATATATAATATATTTGCTATTCCTTTTTTAAAAATTTTTGTCTCTCGCCATGAACATTGCAGCCAGGATGTCTATGTCTTGCTGACAAATCCAGCATGAAGGCTCCTTCTCCGCTGTTCTCCAGGTTTGAATACAGATGCCGACTTCCATGAACATGTTGGTCAAGATTCCTGTACAAGGCAGATGGGAATGACCAGTCATGGGGTGCTGATTTCTTTGGCTATAAAAGGGCTCCTCTTTGTATGAGGGCACTGGACAGTGAATTTGCAAACACTTGGGGCCACAGTTTGCACTTAATCACCGGGACCTCTGGTAATTAGCAGGAACTCTTAATTCACTGGGCTGGTGTTGGTGTATGGGGGAGACAACGGTGAGTCACGGCCCCCTTACTTTAAGCCATTCAATTAAAATTGGGTGGCTCCCTAAGCGATGCAGAAGTGTCTGGGCTTGCTTGTTTGTACTGTGCGATAGGAGGTAAGATTAGGCAGATGCAAGAGCCTCTTCTGACCTTCCAAGCTGCAACAGAGCTGGTCGCTTTTCCAAGCTTAAAAGCTGCCAGTCGAAATCTTCATATGATAAACACAAAATCACATTTCCAAAGAGGCCTCTCGAAATGCACCTGCAGCCTGGCTGGTGACAGAGCTCCTCATACATTTTTCAGCAGTGAAGCTGCCTTCAGAAGCTCCCCCTCTCCTTTCCACCATGCTCCTCTTCCCCTCAGCTGCTCTGACACAGAGGTCTGTTGGGCTGTGCCACCACCGAAGACCTGCAGCAACCCGGCTGATGGGGGAGCAATGGGGTCAAAGTAGGGGGTTAAGAGTGGGGCAGGACTCCTCAAGCCAGCTTTGCCCTGAAGAAAAATGTCTGGGGCTTTGACTGCTTTGGGGCATCTGCCGGGAGGTGCAAACCTTGTGAGCTGCTGCCTGCACCTGCATGTGTATAAAAAGACAACCTGGGGATCTGAATGGGACTAAAGAAACCTCTTTTTTTTGCAAATGCTGGTCTGATACTTTGGACTGGCTTTGCAGAACCTGTAGCCAAGTTTCTCAGCCTATCCACAAAACTTGTATCACCGCTTTCCTGCCCCGCCCCGGGGTGACAAGCAGGTCCTTTCTTCTTTACATGCAAATGACCCTGACTCCTCTGCTGAGCAGGACAGCAAGGTGACATCTGCAGAATTGCTTTTGGTGGCATGGCACTGGCTTTCTAATCACAACCAGGTGGCCATGCCCGGAGCCACCATCACACTGGAACTGCTGGCTGAGAGCTGCCACTCTTAGTGCTGAGGAGCAGCAACACCTACCAGCATCTGCAGCTGGTGGGAATCAGAGACACTTGCCCAGCTACATCCTCCCCTTACACAGCAGGTATAAATCATACATGGTAACTTCTCTACCTACCTGAGGTTTCTTGTCCCTTTCCTCTGGAGAAGGTTCTGTTTCTCTGTATACCACAGCTTTGGTTACCAGCATGTCAGGATGCTGTAGTTTTGCCTCTTTGATTGCTAAAGCCAGTGCCTAGAAACCAGAAGGATGAAAGCATTTATCATCACTTCCCTGAAATCTGGTACATTGCTCTCAGCCAGACAGAACCAGCGGACAGAAAGCAGCTGGAGCTGAGTGGGATTCCAGGAGGACACGGATGCTGAACCCACAGTAGCCTGGCAGAAGAGGTTGAAGCCCACCACTGATCGGGGATTCATACACCATTGGGATGCCTCATGCACTGCCTTTCTCTTGCTGTTTTTTTCGGTAGAGATGCGCTATGTCCCAGGCTCCTTACTGAAACCCAAGCAAAGGAACAGCAGCAATTCTCTCTGCAGCAAAACCCTAGAAAAATCTACAATAATAATCTAATTAAATTTATTATTAGAATTCTAAAAAAATCTAAAAATTATTTTAGAGCCTTTTAAACACTTTAGCTCTTCAATTTTTCTTCTTAAGCAACAAATCCCAAAGGGTTAGGCCACAGGAAAATGACCCTGTGGCCCCAGAGATTTGTGTCAGTCTCTGTTATTTCATCATAAAAGTTTGTCACTTTTTGTTCCTCTATCACGGAGGCAGATGCAAAACACCATCACTTGGAGTGAGTCAACCTGTAGTGAGACTGTGCTGGAAAGAGAGGAAGAACCTGGGTCACTCTGGAGTATTTCAACAGAGAAAGGGCAACTGGAAACGTGTTTTAAGAAAATAAAAAGGTGATCCCATCACTGGGCTCTGTGCTAGGATGTAACCTTTACCGCTGCTTCACTGCTGCAATGGGCACTGATGGGAGCTGGGCCACTGCACCCCGTGGGGACCTGCACTGCCGGACAGAGCTGGTAGGTTTGGGGGCTCAGGGGTCAGGTTTTGGAGAGAAGGAGTAAACAGGTACAATCCAGAACCAGAAACATGTGGTGCTGCAGCTTGGGGCAGCCAGAGCCGGGCAAAGCCAGGGTGTCCTGCTCCTACCTGGTCCTGGTCCACGTCTTCATCTCCTGTGATAATGATGCGCTTCTCTATTCGGGTCTCGGAAAACCCTCCTTTCACAGTCTGCACAACAAGAAGGAAGGCACTCACCCACAGCTGTCCGACAAGCCAGCTGGATCCTGGCTGAGGTAAGCTCTGCCCACGGGAGGAGGGACAATGCCAGCATCACCTTAGGAACTCCCCCCGTAATTTAGTGTATCTTCCACTACCCTTGATTCGGTGCATGGTTAGAACCAGCAAGACACAGCTGGCCACAAGTGGGGAGGAAAGGAAAAGGGCTGGGTGGCAGGTACCAAGCACCCCTCCTTCCTGCTCAGGTCCCTCACTAAGCTTCTGCTTTCATTTATGTGCACTTAATTTGGGAATGAAATGGCCATGGGTGAGGTCCTCTGATGCAGCCTCGTCTCCTTCGTTTCCTACCATCACTCCCCCTTGCCTGCACCACTCCAGCTCTAATAAACCCAATACAACCCACGCTAACACAGCTCCCATAGCTGACACAAGGCGAGATGCTCCAGCACTGGTGCTGTGGGCTTCTTGGGCCAGGGGGACCTGGGGTCTGGCTCTAGGTACGTCTGGGAACACTCACCCCAGTTGCACAGGCAGGGCCTCACATACATGCTGCTGGCAGCCTAATTCAGAGTCCCTTCCACCCCTGCAGTTGGCTTCAGAAGGTCAGCGACGCTGCCTGCTGCTCTTCCTTCTCACCCAAATGACTCCCTGCCCTCCCAATCTACCAGCGAGTAGAGGTGGGCACAGCACGTGTTCACAGTCCCCATGGGTGGTACACAGGTGATGAACACCTGAAGCCTGGCTGTCCTTGCCTGCAGTCCCCTGCTGTCATGCCTGGCTGGATGGGACAGGCAGCGCAGCAGGGCTGAACCAGGCACGGGGCGCTCAAAGCGAAGCACGGGGCACTGTGCTGGCTCACCATCCCCCACGGGACAGCATACACTTTTTCAGCTTTAAGGAGGAGAGGGGCATTTTCTGCTGTACCAACCACAATATAAATCCACCCATCCTCTAATTCCAGTGGCTTGCATCAAGAACCCCCTGGCTGCCCCTTTTGGAGCTGCTCTTACCTTGGTAACGTGGGTAGTGGTGGAACTGGAGAGGGTTTCCGCAGTGGCAGTGAATATGCTGGTGAGCACTTCCTTCCCAGCGGAGCCGCTGGTGATCTGCAGGACAGAGAGCAGCGGCATCAGCGAGGCTGCCACAGGGGAGCCCCCAGTGCTGGCTCCCGAAGAGCTGGGAAATTCCCACCAGGATGCACCTACTCAGCCAAGCACGGGATGGGAGAGAGTGGCAAGGGAAAAAAAGACACTGCATTGTGCTTCCAACTGAACCTATTTTTCTTGGGGGGGGGGCGCAGGGAGAGGTTTCCACAGCTACCCCAAGCCCAGAGCTGCAGGAAAGGGCCTCTGCAGTGGGCAGATGATTTCATGGCTGCGTTTTGCTCTTCCCCATCCATCCTCAGGGCCACCCTAAGTGCAGAGCTCTCAGGCTACCTCTAGCTTTGTCCATCCCGCTTTGCGTGGCGAGGGCTGGGAAAGCTATGCTGGTGCCCCAGCCACACAGTGCTGGGTACGTTCTCCCTGCTGCACAAAGTGATGAGCCTGGGACAGCATGTGGCATTTGGCCAGGCTTGACTCCACCAAAACAAGGCAATCGAGTAGTAAAACACTTTATACAGGAAGGCCTGCTGCTGGGCAGGGTTGTTGATGGCCATCACCTCCACTGGGAATCAGGAGACTTTGCGTGTGGCCTTGGGTGGCCAGGCAGGATACCCAGGGCTAAAGATATCTCAGCCCGCTATGAGACTTCACCAGGGACTGGGCTATTTTTTAGGAATTATCCTCCTCCAGCAGATGCTCAGGGTCCATATCTGGCACAGGAGAAAGGCCACGAGCAGGGTGTCCCCTGCCATCTCGCTCCCCAACCTTCTGAGCATCCTTCTGCTCTTCCCAGTACCAACACACCGGCCAAGGGTGCCAGTGCTGGGAACATGGGAGGGGGCCCTGTGGGACCAACCCCAGCCCGCCCCCACCCCGCAGGGCTGCCTCCCTCCCTCCCCACCACTTGGCCTGGCTGGTGGTGCCATGTCCTCCCCCTCACCGGTGAGAGGGAGCGAAGTTCTGTCACGGGAACGGCCCCTTTCCCAGTCTTGGTGCTGTGATCCTGAAAGAAGAGCAGACGGGCGCGTTGGCTTGGATGCAACACAGGGGCAGACACGGCAGGGCGCCCCCCA